ATATATGGTACACCCGCACCGCCTGCACCAGAATATATACGCACGCCACGACATCCGGCGCCAATAACTCACAAAGTAAAATAATACAAGTGACAAAAACATGCACGCACGCATACACAAACATTTTGACAGGAACACACACACACACACACACACACACACACACATAATATTAGTTTAATGTTTTTATTTTTAGCAATTGAAGAACATATTACGGCGGGCAGTGCAAAAGGAAAAAAGAAATGTGACGCGCTATGCGCCGCCTGCACCAGGATATACACTCGCTCCGCCTGCTCTAGGATATACACCCGCACCGCCTGCACCAGGATATACACTCGCGCCGCCTGCACCAGGATATACACCCGTGATGCCTACACCATACGGTAAAAAATATTTTGTATTTGTTTTGGAAACGGTCCACTCAAGTTTTGTTAAAATTTATTTTTTTTTATTTATTAATTTTAGTGGAAAAATATGCTTCTACAATTTGCTTTGAAATCGTGACCCTTGTTAATATGTTTTAGTATTTCTCACTATGTGACATATTTATCTTATGACATAAAATGAGTGGACCGCTCCAATACGTAAACCAAATATAACACAAATTTTTCAATTGTGCAGGATACTTCCGCGCCGCTTGTACCAGGATATACACCCATACTGCCTGCACCAGGATATATATCCGCGCCGCCTGCAGCAGACTATACTTCCGCGCCGCCAACACTATAATTTTGAACAATGATAAAATAAACGGGCAAGTAAGATTACTATTTTCTATGAATAGAATCGATTACTCCTTACACACACACACACACACACACACACGCGCGCGCACGCACGCACGCACACACACACATGAATCTAGGAATGTTCGGACGTTTCGGTTCAATTCGAGTCATCATACCATACCATCATGAAACAAATGTCACTGATGATGGCTTGAATTCAACCGAAACGTTCGAACATTCCTAAATTTATATAAAAAGTAATCGATTTTGTTCATAGAAAATAGTATCTCACTAATCAGTATTGTTAGGTGTGTCGCCTTTTTAGTGCATGTGCACTACAATACTAGTGAGTTTTAGAGAAATCCAGTAATGTAAAAAATGAAAAGCGCGGGGCCGTGGACTAAACTGTTCGTGGTTACGAGCGAGAATTGGAGAAAAGGCATATACATTTACATATTGCCAAATCTCGCCAAATCTATACTTATCTTCTACATATTACATTTTATTTGTCTAGTGCTTCTTGATTCTTTGTTTTCGCGAAATAAATTATATATAATGTATATGCCTTTTCTCCAATTCTCGCTCGTAATCACGAACAGTTTAGCCCGCGGCCCCGCGCTTTTCATCCTTTACATTACTGGATTTCTCTAGAACTCATTAGTATTGTAGTGCACATGCGCTAAAAAGGCGATGTACCTAACAACACCGTTTCACTTACCCCGTTTATTTCATCATTGTTTACTGGTAAAAAAAAATATATTGTAACCGTACTCGCGAGCAACGGCACAACTTCGTCGCGTGTTCTCGGTACTCAAGGTACGCAAAAATATCTTCTCTCCCTCGGTAGCAGAATTTTGCGACAGCCAGG